ACATTTATCTCTCTTCAGAATGCTTCAAACAGCTCACTTGCTTTCCTAACACCCAACCCGTTACACTGCCACAGTTCAAAGCAAGACCCAAGTGACGTTAAAGCCACTTACGCAGCTCAGTTGGACTTGACCTTCCCCATCCACCTGGCAGAACCACCCAGGTCACACAACATCTTGCCCTTCCCCAGCCATCGCTGAGGTCCACACCAGTCTTGCCCTCAGCGATTGCTGCCTCTCATGACTGCAGCCCAAGAGCACAGAAAATGAAAAACACGCATTTGAAAAGACTGAGCACCTGGCATCAGAAGTGCTTTAACTGTGGTCACACCCACAGTAAAAATTATAGTCCTACAAATTACATGCGGAACTATAATTTGGTCAAAGTCTTTTTAAGGTTTCCGACCAAGCAAGTTATAGGTTGTAAAGGTCATCAGAAAGCAATGGAGAACTTAAAATCTGTATGACCTCAAGAGCTTTCTAATGACTTTTTATCAGCTGTAACTTGTAATTCACACATACGACAAGGAAATAGCAGTTGCAAAAGTTCCTGCATACAAATAGGACAATTACCTACATAATAACATACACACAGCCAGATAGCCAGATGCAGCTGCAAATTAGATGCTACAAAGGAAAGGAAAGGGGCAGCCCTTAACTTGTTGGGCAGGGGTAACAGAGGAAAAGGAGGTTCCTTATTTCCCAGTAAAGCTGCTTTCTCCTCACCTCCAGCACGCTTGCAGGACTGGAAACAGTAGAGGAGATGAATCATACAACATGTGCAAGAATTGTAAAATCTTATCAATTCTGAAGTCCAGTTTGTACTAATCAGTGCATTATCACAAGTGTAAATGTTAACTCAAAGGAGCTGCTAAATGACTGGTACAACCAGCTGAAATTGAATTATCTGAAAGTTCACTTGTGGCCGTATGACTACTAATCACTACCCTCTCTCATCCTTCCTCCTACTTACCTCCCTCTCTTAAACAACCGTAACAGGATACTGTGTCTTGAACTGTAGTTTACCACCTTTGCCATGAGCTCTTGGGAGTAGGCCAGCATCAGCATGCAACCAAACATCAGCTTCCCTCAGGAACTGCGCAGCTGGTTGCTGTTCTCATCCAAGATCTTGGAGTCCTCTTCAGAAATGCCAGGCCGCTCACCCTGCCATGCCTGCCACTCAGCACAGGGCACAGAGCTGCTGGGGAAGGTTTGCCTTCAGACTGGGCCTTACTTTCTTATATTGAGGTTTTCCAGTTTCTTTTCAGCCAACTTATAGTCCAGGTCAAACATCAACCTAAGAAACCACCACAAAGAACTGGTGTGACAGTACATTACATCGCTAAACTTCTTATGTTTAGGAAATATGTTTAGGGGAACCTCATTTATTTTTCCTTTGCATCTAATTGATCATCAGCATCAAATACAAAAATCTAGTATTTCCCAGGAGCGTCAGCAAACTGACGTCATTTCAGCAGCTCTGTACACAGTATGTAAAACTGATAGGAGTAAAGTTCAATTTTAATTGTGCAGATGATACTGTGAAGTAAACAGACGCTTTCTTCTAAGGATTTTTAAAACAGATTTTTCACCTTTTGAGAAGACAGCATGAGTCAAATTTTGCTTTCAGTTATATGAGTGTAAATCTGGAGTAACTCTGGTAATCTCAAAGCAACACCAAACTCATATTTTCTTGTTCACTGAAACTAAGATTGTGCAACAGAAGAAATGGCAACAACGGAGTAACTCAGGACTTTGAACAAGTGAAACTAGTGCTCTGACTGTGTGAACTGCCTTTTCTCCTGCAAGCTAGTAATGCAATTAATCAATTACTACACAGTAGAGTCCTAAATTTTTCAACAGGATCCAGAAAAGGCAACATTCAAAATCCAGTGTTTGTCAAAGCATACGCTGAAGTCTTGATTTTAAACCAGTAAAACTTCCTAATGGCCCACCGTTTCAGACTGAAGCAAAACTTCAAGCAAAGTAAAACCAGAGATTTATAATACATATGTTAACCAGTCTTTAATTGCAACAGCACCTTATAGTGTCATATTGTGTTCTGTATATCACCCATCGTTCAACTTTATAAATAAAGCTTTGACACACTCCAAGTTTTTGGAGCACCACCTGTTACTTAGATACTTGATTTTATTAATAAACTGTTGAAAAAATGTGTGTTTCAAGGAAGAGGAAGACTCCAGGAGGTCCACAGTTACCTAACAGCCTATTTTCTGGCACTAGCCATGTGAAGACAAATTAACTTTAAACACTCTTCTCCTCCAAACAGTGATTTCTCAAGCTTAGCAACAAACGGGATTCTAAAATACTGTCCGTCAACAGTCAGGTAACCTGAAAACTTGCTGTGTATCTATTATTGCAAAATAGACACCAAATGGTAGGATCCATCTCACCTAATTTTATCTATCTAAACTAAACAGTGGGCACCTTGTCTTAGCAAGTCACTGGAGCTTCCTCTATAGCCAATGGCATGAGACACCCACCAATTTTAGTATGGAGAAAGAAACAGTAAAAAAGGCATTGATACTGCTGATTGGACAGTCCAGATCATTAGTTTATGATAGATGCCCAGGTCTGGGAGAATCCCACCATGACACGTCCAGCAGTATGCAGGGGGTTTAACAGATGCCTGTATGGAAAAGCTGCAGGCTTCACTCCCACAGCAAAAAGGTTCAACAAATTGCAGCACAGCTTGCAGAGGAGCAGGAGGAGGGGGGTGGTCCCTGGCTCTATTAAATGCACGCTTGGGGAATAAAGGAACTTGAAAAGCAGTAAAAAGATTTAACAGCTCATAATACAATCTGCAACTAGCAATGTGCAACTTATTTTACTAAAATATTTAAGTATGAGAAACGAAATTTCTTACACTCTGAAATGTTAAGGGGTCAGGCTTTTCCCTGGCTTATACCCCCTTGCCTTCTTTCAGCACAATTTGATTCCAGTGACTTTTTTTTTTCCAAACCTGAAAGTATTATGAATTTGCTTCCCCATGCTAACAAGTTTCCTGCAAATGTTGCCTTTTTCTTTTCTGTAAACCCAAATAACAAAATAAAACTATAGCATTAATTGAAAACACCTAGTCAAAGGTAATTTAGGGAAAACACAAACTTTCCTCCAGGCTTGTTTGTCAGACTTCTCTCTGAAGCTTCTGATACTTTTGCTCTCCAGTATTTTTGAAGATACATTGTGTTTCACAGATGGGGTGACTTTTTCTTATTTATCAATCTTGCATAATGAAACACTTAGTACAGAAAAAACTTTCTCAAGGACAGTGGATAACTGATGGCTTGATTCTGAAGAAACAGTCCTGGTGAACTACACCTGAAAATAAAGTCATCTAGAAGACATTCAAGACTTATCACCAGATCTGAGCAGCTTGCTGGGGAAAAACTGTAGTGTCTCAAATCACCTATTTTAGCACAGCTTTTAAGTGCGGACCATGCCAGTGGACACACAATTAAAATGAACAGCCCTGAGTGTTTGGTTTCTTGATTACATATGGAAATGAGGTGCAATTGCATTGCCAATCCCTCTTGTAACATTTGAATCTGTCAGTCAGCTCCCAGCAAACCTGACAGAGACTTTTCAAAGATAATTAAGCTCCCTCAAGCTCTGTGACCAGCTAGGGTAACAGCACAAAAGGCCTAAATGAAAACGTTCACAAGGGCAAAGCTGGTGGAATGGCGTACGCTCTGCTTGGCGGTTCCTAACCAGCCCATCGCCACAGCTTACTAACCTGGCCACGGGCACCCGTGTCACCCTCAGCTCCTGCACTCCCTGCTGCCCCTTGGGTGGGCTTGGTTGCAGGGGGAAGGGCTGGGCTGGGAAGGACTGGAAATTTTCAAGAAGTATCTCAAATCCACAGGACATGAGGCTTCACAGGCTGTTCAGCTCACAGAACTACTTTTTTCTTTTTCTGTTGTTTATTGGCTTCCAAAAGTTTGATGAAAGACCTTCATGAGCAGATACCCATTAAAAGGAAAGCGAATGCCTTTTAATGTTTCTTAAAATTGAACACTTTCACAAGTTGATATTCTAGGACATTACTGATTATCATTTTGATCCCTTTAGGAATAAACTCTTGGAGGTTTAACTAGGATAGCAAGATAGGAAAACAAATCCAAATGAAGCATGCTTTAAAGATTTAAAGCCTCCCAAAAATCTGCACTTGGTAAGTTCAATGTAGTGTTGAATCAGACACAACAGAACCCCACGCAACCCTTTCATGTATCTGACATCTGTATCTTAATCTTCATTTTAGGCAGTTTATAGCATCTGAGCCAATTATTTAAAGTAATTTTAAGCTGATTTATTACATCTCTAACTCTGAACATTCATCATTCTGCAAACAGCCTAATGGGAGATGACCTATACCTTAACTTTTACATTCTACAATGGTCTTTCTCTAAAACTGTCTTTCAATCACAATATTTAAATCCTATGAATCAAGTTTTCTATGCATTTCAATCAGAAGTCCACATTGTATTTTGTTAACACGTTGGGTTCACAGCTGAGGTACCATAACTTTAGTATGGAAAAAATTGCTACTACAGCATTGCATTTCTTATTTGGTATTCCCTCGAGTAGCATCACCTAACTGGCTGTTTCTGTCATCACAGAAACAGACACTATTTTTTTCTAGAAAAATGTGTAAATTGTAAATACAAACATTTGCATGCTTTGTAACTGAGGTAAGTGAGCTGTACATAGAAGCACTAACAAACACCACAGTTGTAAAGGAATGCAATGCTGCTCACAAGAGAGAAGCAGTTCATTTTAGCCTCTTCAGCACACAACTAGGTACTACAGACAACAGTAATTAATTTCCTTTTTTCAGGGCTTTTGAAAAAGCAGTGGCTCAGTTTCTAGTATGTCTGACAGCCACAGACCAGGTTGACTTGCAGTTCAAGTGAATGTGAATTTTGAAAGCAGAATCCATTACATGCTACAGAATTTAAGTTTTCTTTTATTAGAATAGAAAAAGAGATCTGAGAAATAACAACAATAAGACTGGAACTTGGGATGCATTCTGACACAGAAGAGTTATGAAAAGCAACAGAGTCTTCCTCACAGTACAGTAATTCTTAAGGATGGACCAAAAGGAATATTTAGCGCTGCAATAAACTATATATTATCAGTGAATGAAATGACTGCTTTACTCCCCATATATGGCAAACAGACAACACAACCTGGATCATTTTGGAAACCCATTTTCAACAAAATCCTACTCAAAGAAATTAAGTCTGCCCCATCTCTAACAGATCATCTAAGATTATATTTGGGCAGATAAAACCCAACACATTTCCCCAAGTATTATTTCAGTTGGATTACCTAATTTCTGAAAAGGATTTTGTCAGAAGAACTTAGGCAGAGGTTTTTTCACTCAAGCCCATCTCCAACACTTGAAGCATAAAAATACGGGAAAGACGTAAGCAGTTGGTGTCATAGTGCTCTTCTATGCTTCATACTCAAGTATTTTAAGATCGTCAAGTAGTTCTTTAGCAAGTGCTTGCAGATCTGCATTGCGGCTCTTTGACAGTGCAATGATACGCTGAAACGGCAAAGTATCACGCATCTCAGAGGCTGACTTGGCTAAAACTTCTGGCTCCAGAATCACAGACTGGAGGAGCCGCAGAGCATGAAGACAAACTTCTGTATCTGGGTCTAGAAGTGGGGGGAGGAAAAAATCCAGCGCTTGTTAGAAGTGAGTCTGAAAAAGCAGCATTAAAGCTCTACGGCGCCATTCTTCATGAGCCACCAGGCAGACAGGGAGTAACTGAAGTTTCATAATTCACAGCTGCCATTTGGTGCTGGCTGGCTCTAGAAGGAACCTGAAAACAACACCTTTGCCCTCCTCAGCAGCTTGTGCTCAGCAGTGTTTGGAAGGGAGTGGTAACCAGGAACCTTTCTCTTGTTTTTCAAATGTTGAAAATGCTATAATTCAGGGAATTTATCAACTTGAACTTATCCAATCAGTAGCCAAGATGTACTGTTGGATGCAATCCTACTTAAGAGCAGAACAAGCTGTATCTCATGACTATTCAGACTTAAAAAACAAACAGACCAACTAATCAGATTTGCAGTAAATCACCAGGATTGCTTAAAATTTCTTTTTATACAAGCCTTCAGATTTCTTCAAAGCTCAATATAATATTCATCTTTATAAAACTTTCCGGTAACCAAGCATCAACCTTCCAAGTGTTTAAGTCAGTCTACACAAAATAGAAATGGGTACTGAAGCTAAGCACTGCTGCTTAGGAATGCATCAGAGAAATGCAGCAAAGACCTGTGACTGACTTAAGCTAGGAAAATATATAACTCTACTGTTAAGAACACAGGATGCATTTTTAATTACTGAAACATTAGAAGCACTGTATTTTAAATATTTAAAACAGTCCATTTGCATTTAGTTGTTTATAGCTTTATCAAAAGCATCTGGTAGAAAGCCCCATTTTTGCACTTCTCTATTCTGCATATTCCAAATGAAAACGTCTAATATATTTTTATGGCTGAAGCAACTACTTTTTCCACGTGCTGTGCATTTTTTATGTGTTTGTCATTAGCATACCTAGTCTTCAGCAATCTTCTGATAAAGCATTGTGCAGAAATGTTAAGGAAAAATTAATTCAGATCACTTTGCACACAAAATCACCACAGAGACCGAAATCTCACTGAAGGAGCATAAATGCAGTGCAGTGATAAACCACACTGTACTGAGTTTGAAGGAAACATTTGGTGGGCTGAGGCAAGTTCTCTCCTTTACTGGCTTATTTAATACCTAACACTGGTGACCCGAAAAAGGACTAAGGAGAATTATTCATTAAAGCATAAAGGGAAATATTGAAAGCATCCAGGGGAGAAAACAGAATGTGATGGACAGCGAAGAAGACGATGGCTTTAAGCATGAAACAGACTGATGAGATGGGAATTTCTAAGGAATTCCCACTAGCACATGGCTGAAGTACAATATTAAAGATTGTGACATCTGGTCTACACCCACAAGCCAGGCACTCCCTCTCTCTTCCTCCATTTTCCATCATAAATGAGATATGTACGTCTTTTGTACCATACCTCCTTCCCTTTTTAAAGTGTAAAGCTCTTAAGAAAGGAATTCTACTTTCTTCTGGAAAACTAGCAGAGTGGAGTATAATCCAAGGGCACAGGAATTGTCCAAACCCAAACAATAACATGCATTTTATGTGCAATGAGAACCTTAGCTATTGGGCTGACTGGACAACTTTAGACATTCAAATCAGCATGTTAAAAAAATGATTAGTGCTGCACACCCCATGGAAGTGGCCATACCCACGGCACAGCCACTCCTATTGCTGTCACCTGGGCTGAAGGCTCAAAGGAGTCTCTCCATCATCATCTCCAGCAGCACCTGCAGGTGCAATTTTCAGAGTGATGAGCAGTCATAGCTCATGGAAAAATGCTGCGACTCAGACTCACAGACAGCAAGACTTATGTCCAGTTTCTTGGGCAGCAACACTTCAGTGAATCCTTTTGAAAAAAGTTGGGTGCAAGGTTTGGTTTTGATTTATTCTGACCTAATAAAAATACGACTAAAAGCCTTGAATTCATCCACTCATTCCTTTCATTTTTGTCTTCATGACTGCCACAGGGATTTTTTTTAAATTACTTTTTTTTTTTTTTTTTTTTTTGCCAGATACAATGTTCCAACTCTGAACAGATCACCTGCCCCCTTTCTCTGTACTTAGTATTATTCTACATTTATTCACCGGAAATAGCAGCAACAAACCATAGCCCAAATAGGTAAGAAATAAGCTTTTGGGAGTGAAATCGATGTAGCTCGTTACAATCTTCCTCCATGACATAAAGCTATTAATACTTCTAATGGCTTGCAGTACTGCTGGGAAGCTTCATATACATAAAATGTCTTAAATCCCTGGATGAAAAGTGCTTTTTTATTAATAATGTTACAGGCATCTGTGTTACTATTATCTGCAAGTGTTTAAAGGCTGTAGAAAGTAAAGAATTGATCAGGAAAGAAGCGTTAGCAGGGGACCTAACAAAATTAGGATCTGTAGGAGATCAGGAAATTATTTCCAGCTTGACAAGCAAGAACATTTTCCAGTAAGAGCAAGGAGGTTCTAGGAAGAATCTCCAGCAGCAGCCAGGGAAGCTCAATGGCTTGAGTCACTCAAATGAAGAACAGATTAGGCACTTGGGCATACAGCAAAGGAAGGAAATGATCCTGCACCAGAAGATGACTTAATACACATTTAACCTCTGATTGCCATTGTTTTGCATGTATTTTGAGATGCTTCAAGTTAAATAAATACATATGCCTTAAAATATACTCCCCTAGGATTACATGTGGTTTTAAGAATACTAGTTATTACGGATAATCATGTTTTCTAAGAGGATTTAAAAAAAAATACCCTAGAGGTCTTTCTCTTGCGTCTCCAATATCATTAGGGATTTTTTATAAAAACCCTCTCTAAAGGATACTCAGAAGAAATGTAAGGAATCTTCATTATTCAGCATGATATTTATTTCAATAGCTTCCAGATATAGTAATTTCTACACTAGCCGAGTAACATTTTGTTTGTACAAGATCAAAAGAATCCTTTAGCTATAACCAAATCACTTCATCATATCCTCCCAACAACTAGCACATACATCTCTTCAACTAAAATTTCAAAACTACAATCATGACTTCTGGGGAACAGGGCAAGAAATCAAGCTGCTTGCCTCAGCCAGGGATCACAAGCATAGCATAAGCCTACCACCATCATAAAATGCTGATGTAATTTTAACAAGGTGTTGAAACTGCTGGAGTTTGCTGACGTTCTGCTAGCTGCCAGCACTACCATTTGATGTCACTGGCTTTCAGTTACTGACAAAAGCAACTGATAACGTGGACAGATTTTAGTCACATCTGTCACTAGCACCGTGCTCTCAGATGAACTGTTCCCTATAGCAGGGTTTAAGTAATTGCATTACATCAATGCTAAACAGCTTATCTACAACTGGCTCCAAGTTGTGTGAACTCAATTTACCCATACCATTCCCTGGCCACCTGAATGCAAGATTTATTACCAGCAAGCTGTTTACAGCTATGTCTATGTACAAGAGCCGTATTTCAAAAGCTTCTCACCACTGCTGTAAATGTCATTCAATTCAATTACTGTCTGATTCCAGCATGAAGGGGCCACCTGCCACTCCCCCTTGCCTTTTGATGAACTTGTCAGAGTGCTGACGTTCACAGCATGTCTAACAGAGAGAGCCTGGGCCACGGCTTGCCCCATCTCTTTGCACTGCCAACGCTGGAGAAGCTGAGCCAGTATCTGAAGCAGCAGACAGTTTTCCAGACATTTTCGTAAAGCTGATAGGTCTGAGGAGACAAGAAGTGTTGCAATAAAGCTGCTATGTGGGGAAGGAGCAGGGAAAACACCATGGCAGAAAAAAGACTGAGCTTTGCTGCTGCAATTCTTGCAGATGCAAATGCACTTTGCCTCTGCAACATACTTGCCCCAGCTCCTGTACAACAGCTGGGTTTGCTTCAGTCTCCTCCCTGGCTAGGTGGGTGCTCTCATTGTCAGACATGGAGTTGAGCTAATCAGAACTCCCTACTCTCCTACAGACACACGGTTGTCACACTTTTATCAGGGGAATCCCTGAGAAAGACTTCCAGGGTCCGGATCCAAGCGGCAATTCAGTCCCAATTTGCCTGACTGCTACTTAGGGGCTGCGAGTGAAAAGGACCTTGCACAGACGCCGCTCTGCAGCTGGCAGATCTGTGGGTGAGATGCTGGATCCGTCGTCCAGCTCCCATCAATCCCAGCCTGGGCTTCTGAGGATTCCCACAGGAGCTACTGAACAAGAGTAACGATGTAAGAACAAACCAACGGTTTACAGTGACAGATGCGCTTGCCTGAGTTAAGGTTTCTCATGTATATTCACAAAAGGAGAAACACTGTGCTCCTCAGGAGAAGGTCACTTTGCATGAGTCCAGGGCTAGGAATTAGTCAAGAAACTCCTGCTCAGAGGGCAAGGACAGACACACCGCGCCCGGCCAGAGATCTGTCTGGGCAAGTATTATTTGCAGCAGCTGCTTAGAGAAGAATATGGAAAAGGGCAAGCATTCAGTGAGACTTCCCCTGATCACTCTTTCAGCCTCTCAGCTGTGGTTCAGGGACTTTCTGAGTCAGAGATGACATCCCTGCATTTGAGAAAAGGGATGTGGTCTTACAGGGCAAAAAGGGCAAGCCTCTTTTCAAGACTAGTTTCATAGTCTGAAGAGTATGAAACTGTTGTGCACTTCAAAGTCTGCTAACTGAGGTTTTGATTTATGAACCAAAATTTCTTTTCAATACAGACATCAGCTTATAAATAGGAGGGTTCTGTTTGTCCAGATGTCTTAAATAACATGCTGCCATGCAAATAACCTGAATTTTCAAAACTCTCACAGCCATAACCAATTCAAACTGAAAAGCAAGGCATTAAAAACCTTCCGGGTTAGTCATGAAAAGCAAATATTGAAGGTTGCAGGCAGCATTAGCAAAATGAGAATGTGCTTCATACAGGCATTTATAATAGAGACTGTCATTTGCAAAGAATTTGGATAAACAAAGTTAGATTTCCATGTGGAACTGTGGTGGAGGAAACTGAAGGACAAGATCTAAAATTAGTCATACTTCTCTTGTTGCCTTTTGTTTAATTAAGTACCTGGAGCAATTTCCTGGCTATAGATGAGAATGTCACTGACACAGTCTCTCTGAATTCCACACTGTCTCATGTGTTGAAGGAGAACAATTTTTTTAACAGCATTCAAAGAAAAAGTGGGGAAAACCAAAATAAAGATACAGGATAGCTGAAAAAAAAAAAAAACAAAAAAACAAAAAAACACAAAAACCCACAAACCCAAAAAACAACAAAACACCAAAAAAACCCAGAAAAGAGCATAGACCCATTTTCCTCAGCATCTATTTGCTGACAGATGTTCTGTATGATCAAAAATTAAAAACATAAATCTAGTCTTTATTATTAATACTTGAGCTTGCTTTTTAAGCCTTCTTATTCTTTGAAAGATCCCTGGTAGAGAAAAGTCCCAATCTACCTCTCTAGAAATTGCAGAATGAAAGTCTTATTGCATCTATAGATGTAACGCACCAGAAAAAATACTGACGCATCTCAGGTGGCTATCTACCCAAAATTATATAACTTCTTTTTCTATTGCTGAGGACAGGGCTTTAAATCTGAAAGCTATGCAAAACCCTTAGCCAAGACATCAACAAAGGGACAGCAGCTGATGGAGAAAACTAAAGCTGTCTATTTTCTCCAAGATGGGAACAGCTGCTCTGCAAACAAATGGTGCTCCACAAGAAGAGAACTCTACTGATCCCACAAGCTGCTCCACAGCCAGAAATCTGACTCATCATTCACATGTTTTATGCTGGCACCAGGCTGGGAAGGTATAGGTAGGCATAGCTGATACCCATGCAAGAATACAATAGCTACATAAGCTATCAGAGTATCATCTTCAGTGATCAGTGTTGTTTATTAAAGGGTGCCCATCTCTTAGTGCTTAAAAAGGCAGGAAAAAAAGAAGAAAAAAATAGCCCACCTCATAAAATGCTAACACTACAGAGATCTGCATTACCTTCAAAAAGTGTGCCAAAGAGTTTGTTTTTCTGCTATTATCAGTATAGCCTCCAGCAGAAAGAGCTATTAAGAATTCTTGTTAGTGAGTATGAAGTCATACTTGCTCGTCCAAATTTTCTAAAGGCCGTAGGACAGATGAATCCAGTTTGCTGTTAACATTCTCACTCTACTAGAAATTTTTATTAGATTTTTCCTACTTCCTGTTACCATCCGTGTATTCAATGTCAAGGCATATTTCTGTCTCATCAAAAAGCCTGCTAGACAACCTGAATCAAATCCCTCTTTGGTTCAGATACAACAAAAAGGAATAAAGAAAATCAAGTTAACGATTTGCTCTCCTCACTTAACAGGAAGGATATTCTTCAGGGGACAAGACGATTGGGCAAAGACTGAGAATTCAGAGAAGGAATTTAAGGGATTTATCAGCTGCATACAAGTCAGTGGGAGAAAAAATGGCCTTGATGTGTAGGCTGAGGTCACAGACGCTTGTAGATTGACGATGGAAAAGCAAACAGGATGATTCTCTGAAAATGTATCAAAAAAAAAAAAAACCCAAAACAGTCAGAGGATGATTTCTGGGGCCTCTCTTAGTGGGAATGCTGATAAAAGCTTACAGAACTGTGGAAAGCTGAATCATCTCATAAGCCTTAATCAAAACACTCTTTGAAAAAGCTTCCTGGAGGAAGGCAGCATATGCAGGATACCCTGCCAGCAGAGTGTAGTGCTCTACTCTCTTGCATGGAAAAAACTGTAAGACCTTATGCTGTAGCAGCTCCAGGTGTTTATAAGCTGAATCATGGCTAGCAGAAGCTGAAGATGCTGGCCACGGAAACAGGAGAAGAGCAGAAGTGGGAGGAAGCTACTGAGTTTTACAAGTTGAAACATTTAGAAATAGATTAAATGTAGAGAAAACTACAGCGACCTCATACAAAATGATGGGAACAAGACTGGGTCTTGGATCTGACCTCTCTCTCATCTGATGTACAAACTAGTCAGCCAGCCCCCTTAACAGTAAGCAGACTTCCTCCAAAGTCAGAAGTCTGAACAAGCAGATGTCATTTATCTGAGAATCTTCTTCCTTTGCTGTAACTGGAGAACTTCATTATCAAAAAGTGAAGGAATCAGCCATGCCCGTCCTTCCTTCTACAACCCAGCCGTCCACAATTAACACTTTCAAAATGCAGAGCAGCCTTTCCATTTCTTATTTCCTTTAGCAGCTGCAAATGAATTATAACTGTGCCACATTTCATCCTCTTATGCGACCTAGGAGCCTTCTTCAAACAATAGATAGCATCAAACAATTAGCTGCTTTGTTCTGTCACAACATTTACAGGGGCACATTTGGGAACTCAGACAGGTTTTTTTGGGTTTGGGTTTTTTTGCTAGAACAACAACTTGTATATATACTAGCCAAACATAAAGTGAAAGGAAAATCTGGACTAACATGTTAAATTTCTAAGCACAGCAGAACAAAGGACCATGCATTCCAAGTTCTCCGAGAATGTATTTTTTTTCTCAAACTATATTAAAAAAATTATAAAACAGGTGTTCTTCAACAGTCTTACAAGAATTACATAATTTTCTGAGATCTCAGAAGAGCGAGCCTACGGCATCGCAAAGCAGTAATTTATTTGGTGAAAAGCATGAGTACCTACATTTTCTGTAAAACAGCTGAAGGAACTGTAAGCAATACAAGTAGCTTCCGGTTTGCTAGCCCAAATCAAAGCTTTTCCAAAACTTCAATATGAAATTAATTCCTTGAAAAAGCAGATGGGACCTCTCTCACTTCAGCTGCTGTTAGTACAACAGGGTTTTGCATAGCACCACAGAGTGCTCAGGTGACTAGCCTTCCCAGTCCTATAAACGGCACACCAGAAATCTTCTCACAGAGAAGCCACAAAAACTTGAGAAAGCCAAGACTGAGCAACTCTAGGAGCAGTTCATAGGCAGGACAGTACCATGGCTCTGTCCTTGCTGCTGTCCTCACTGTCCCTTACAAGCTGTGCACACAGCTGCCAGCCAAGTCCAACGCACGCTGGCAGCGTCAATCTGCTGGCTCCTACGCAGGGATTTGAAGGCTCCGAAAGAGCAGAGCCTTAATGTCACTCATGTACCTGACAGTGGCAACAGAAGTCCTTCACGTCCTTGAAGTCCTACACTGGCCAAAGGCAAAGCTGGGAATAGTACTCAAGCCCTGCAAGCCCAAATCCTATTAGAGCACAAGGCCTGTCTTCAGCTGTAGAAAGGGTCACTTTTGTCATGGGTGAGTATAGTTACAGAGGTCGGCTTCTTTCCCCAGAATGTGTCATACCACAGTCACATTTTCTTTTGTTAAAAGGTAGTGATCTGATGCATGGTTTCTCCTCAGGGTTTATTTTAAAGTTGGTATGTGAAAATGCAAGTGGCTTTTTTTAATCCACCTCATCAAATTTCTCCATTCCCTATTTTTAATTCTACCATCCACAAATTTTATATTAATGAAATATTACAGTGACAAAAATGTTGTGGGAAATGTGTATTTTCTCCCTTTAGTCACCTGCCCTTTTTGTTTACTTTTAAACTGACAAAAGCTATACATAATCAGGTTACAGATATAAATTTCTGTTTTGTTATTTGCAACACCTATTGTCAGTCTACAATCCCTGAAGTCACAATTTACAAGGTTCTTAGAGCAACTTACCATTCAATAGCCACCAAAGCAAAGGAATAAAACCTGGACTTTCACTGATGTACTTCAAGCCTTTCAAGTTGATACTCACATTGTAAAGTGACATTAGCATTAGCCTAGAATCAAAAGAAAAAAAGATATGATGACCTTTGATTTCTTTGCATGCTTTGGCATCTTTTGCTATTTATGCCAAGCATATACTGATGCAGAAGCCCATTCTAATAATTTATATTTTGATAAAAGAAACAAGTCTCAAATTGTATATAAGCAGTGTCGCACAAAACCTTTTTTCTACTGTTAAATCACATATTTCAAACAGATGGAAAAATATGCCATGCAAGACTAAGGTGGTCTGCCCAAACCACGACATGGTCTCATCAAACTCCATGAAATTCAGTACACGAGATGTGCAAGACCATGGCGTGGCTTTACACACAGCCTATGCGATAGAGCTTTTGTGGTGACAAGCCTCACTGGGCAAACGATCATCTCAAGCTGTTTGCCTCGGCAAATAAAAGGGCCACTAGGAAACACAGAAAGCAAGACTGTATACAGAGTACTCAAAATGTGAAAGGAAGTCTCTGCTCCATCGGTCGTGCAACACTGGCCCTTCTGTACACTGACCCTCCAGTCAGCTGAAACACAGACACACTGACTACTGACGTCCACTTTCAAACATCCTCCTGCTCCTCCCGATAGCAGGAGCAGATGCAATATATAGCCAGCATACAGCAAACCTCTGTGTAGTCTCTCTGCTGGCAGGGGAAGTTACTACGCCTACAGAAGCATTTGGAAGAAGGGGACAGGTCAGAAGGAAGGAGAAGGAAGGTATTAGTAGCCCCAGCTCAGCTTAGCACGCTCCCTCCTAAGCTACTCATCCCTTCTGCTGTGGGTGCAAGGCAGAGAACCAGCTTGCTCTGCCTGCTCTCCAGCCCCCCCCAGTCAGGCAGGGCCATGCGATCTGGGCCATCGAGTGAGACCCTGCTGGGAAAAAGCAGGCTGCTTGTCTCTTAAAATGCCGTCATGGACGTTCCTATTTACTCTGCCTTTAGGGATCCAGACTGATTACATTCAATGCACAAGTGCATTTTTTTTTTTTTTTACGTCAGTAACACTGGAATTCAATTTGGCTGTGAACTGTGCTCTTGTCTTAGTGCAGGTAAGTGCCAGGATAACACAGGCCAAATGGTACTCTCACCTGTACCTCTTCGAAACTGTTTCCAGACAACATTTTGGCCTGCTCAAAGACTTCCCCCGCCCCCCCCCCCCCCCCCCCCCCCCCCCCAATTTCTTTTGGTCTTTTGTTATGGTCACTGATGTTGAAGGAAGACAGAACCCATGACCTATAACCTGTCTTCCACGTAACAGAGAAGGTCTATGGCCTAACAGCTAGAAAATATTTCCTTAATTTAGCATTAAAAAAAAAAACCCTAAGATGACATCTCTGACAAACCAAAACCAAAACTGTCCCTTGCATGTCCATGTGCAAACAACAAAATACACATAGTAAGTATTCATTCCATTCCAAGGATTTCCTAATTTATCAGCCTCCTAAAATAGGAAATTCGTTAGTCCTTTTGGGGCTCCATACATAACAGGTTATAAATTAAACCAAAGTCCCAACTTTTCTACAGGGAGAAAACCAAGGAGGCTGGAGAAGGCTCTGCATTTTAAAGGACTGCTGTAGCCTACCGGTCCCACCAGCTTCTCCCACAGTGGCTCATGCTGAAGTTACTGCAAACATGAAAAGCTTCAGTATGGTCAATAACTGGCAAAATCTAATACCTATGAGGGAAAGCAGGTTTGAACACAGGTAACCCCTCAGCCTTAGCCAGGACAGAGCTGAGGTAACACTGTAAGGTGCAAGAAGCTGCATGCAGAAACAGCAGCCCTGCCTCTTTATGCAGATAAAGGGCCTGGGTCAAAATTTACTTTCAACAGTCAGACAAGTATGGAAACTTGAGGCTCAAAATGAGCCTCCCTTTCCAAAGCTACCCAGAACAATTGCTAGTACTCAATGCAGAACATTTCACTGGGATTAAGTCTTCTCCTGCAGTTTCCCCTGAACCAAATTCTGCTTTCAAACATCCAATGCTGATGTTGTTACGTTGTCTTCCACATTGCTGATACAAGTTTTTTATGGTTTTGGTGGATAAAACCTTCTTTGTCAGCTAAGCAGAGTCTCAGTGGGCTTAATGCAAATTACTTCAATTTCCCTCTAACTTCCAGTAGGAATGGGACTGCATATTCAAAAGCGGAAAGCATCCAGAAAAAAAAATCCCCACATGACAAACTAATGCTGAGCCTCTTTCAGAATCAGATCACTGCTGTACTATGAATTTCCAGCCAAGAGACCCATGATGTTCCTGAAAAAAAGAGCCGTACTCTGGAGTCAGATGTCGTTTTACAAAGTCTTTCACCGTTCCAGTGATGTTCTCTTGTCCTGCCTTTTATGCATAATCTTCTTTACAGCTGTGGAGTAGCTGGGGGGACAGGGCATTAGTACCATTTAGGATGTATGCTATTACTTTTTATTTCTTTTCAAAGATGATAACACCCAAGTCAATCTTCTGGACAATGAAAAGGAAAGATGAATGAGCAGGGCTCCTATAACATTTATGGAACATGTCATTATACCCACTCACAGCTGGGTGCCAGATTACATACAAAACAATTACAGAGAAACAGAATGGGCTGGAATGTTCTCCTCTGTTCTGGGACCAGCTTGGCTGCTGCTATGTCCCGACTGCAATAAACCTGCATGTCATTGCACTGCCACCCCTTCCAAACAAAAGAGAAATAACATTATTCCGAATGGACTTCACACCCCATATCCTGTTCTCACACGAGTTCTCACAGCTTAAGCTACTATGCCACCAGCAGACTTTCAGACATGCTCTGTGCATACCTTCAGAAAGCAGGAAAGAAAGTAACCCATTGCAGGCTAAACTGAGTTGTAAGAGACATAATTTATATTACGTGCTGCACCACTGTGAGTTTGATCACCTAGGCTCACAAGCAGTAGGAGTAAGAAATAGTAGATTATTAAATCTACTGCATCAGTGGCCACTGAGAAGCAGTGAGGGGTGCTGTGGAACTGAAATTGCAGTTTGTAAAGCCCATACGCTCCTTTTTCATAAAGCCTCTGCAGCTCTTACTTAGCTTCCAGAACCCAAACCCTGACAAAGGAGCACAGCCATAATTACCTATAATCAGCCAGAATGAAAATGATCAATAAAACAGTATCTTATAATGGTAAGCGTTAACATTTCTTGACAGTGTCTTCAATCCTTAATCTGTTTGACATTTGCAGTTAGAAATAAAGTGATATAAAAAGATACTGCTATGTTTATAATTTTGTTTCATTTGTTTGCTTTGCGCAGGCAAAAGGGACTGGTGGTGGTGATCCAGGGAAGTGCTGTGGTTTCGTACTGTCAGAAGAAGACATAACCCACCCCACAAACCAGTTTAGTCCCAAATTAAACACACTCACCTAAGCACAACACAGAAGCACTTCTAGGCCCGTTATACCACCTTCACCTCTAGTATTTGCACATTCTAATAAGTATATTTTTGTGATAATTATTGAAAAAGTGCTTATTGAAGCAAACCTGACACACATAATTACTGGATAAACAATACTTTCTGGGTTTTTTTATTATGAAGGGCTTTTTAATTATGCACATCATAGTCTTCCTATTTAGGGAAGCCAAATTTAATTAACGTCTTGTACTACTATATCTGTCAATGCTTTCTTTAAAATCTAGAACTAAAAGCACAGCTAAAGCCCCTTCTCGTCTGGCTTCATACATGGTATTGGTACATAAAATGTACTAATATCTACTAAAGTACGTATTTTTACTGGCTACTTTCAACTGCTGCATAAGCAGAGTTGGATGTTCTTATCAATTTAATTATAGCTATGAACAATTGTGTAAATATTTATTGACTGCCTAACAATTACAAATGTTGAACAAACCCTATACCAATGAGAAGAAAATCTGAGGTCTTTCACACCAGTGCTATTTCAGAAAGGCAAAGACACCCATGAGATTTCAGTCCCAGCACTCACGTAGATGCCTTGGATATATTTATTACATACACATGGTCTACAGCGGATATTGTAGCAGTGCTGGAATAAATAACAGCTTTTCCATGTAAATTTTTTACTTATATACTGTATATTGTACAAGTAAAACACAGAACTGCTGGAACTAGGAAGAGGAAAGAGAACTCCCCTCTATCAGCTTATTTTGTCTGATATTACTGTGTGTAGAATTAGACTCACAGTTTCCCCTGATTTGTCACCCAGTAAGGAGAAATATTTTTTAAAATAAAAGCTAGGAAAGAATTGTAAAACTTCAAAACTGAACAAAGGACAAACTTATCCTTGAAAATAGTAAGCCAAAGTTTTTCTTTCATTGATTACATCCTTTCATGTATTACCATGGTGATGCTTTGAGAAAAACATAATGCATTTCCAAAAAAATATACATTTTCATCCATGAGGTACAGTTTTAAAAATGTGTCTGTCTGTATGTATATCAAGTGTGTGTGTAAACATTACTTATGATGACTCCAGAGTCTGTCTATACATAACTTTGAAATTCCACTAGAATTTATGTTAACTATCATACCCTTATCTCACAGTTGTTCTTCATTTTGTAATACCTTATGTTCCTTACAGTAGGGAGAAAAGGAGTTCTTCCGACATATCTGCTTATGGAAATGTTGATTATTTAAGATTAACAAGCAGCTAAAAATCTTACACACAGAAAACAATTTAAAACCAAACAAACCAACCAACGCCCCAAACCCTTCTTTGCTGGTCTGGGATTGTTTAAAATCCCCCAAAAAAGGACAGGAAAGAGGGTTTTAAGAACTGAACCGTTACAAGACACATAGAAAGCTCATAGACAAAAAGGAACCTGATCATGGACATGGAAGACAAACACAGGGAAAACATTTTGCACTAAGCCAGTTGAGCAAATTAGGTTCCATGACAAGGCCATGAAGAAATTGCTTTTCTGGCATTTGCTCTCATGTCATAATACAGCAATTTTTTATCAAATGGAAAGTTCAGAGCAGGAAAAAAAAAAATTGTTGATTCTGTGGAACACCAGAAAACATTATCACTGCACTGAATTCAAGCTATTGTAACACGCTTAACGTTTCACACATCAAATGCCCTGTGCAACCTCTTTTTTAAGCTTCACTCAATTTGTCAGCCTAAGAGGCTGGCCCCTGTTGAATTCCTAGCCACTTCAAGGGATTGTTTTATGTATATTTTATCAGTATTGCTGTATGGTAGCCAAATTTATATCACCATATGTAATTCTTCTGCAAAGCAAGCAGATTTTGAAATGTAATCAAAATACCACCCAACACATCAATTCAAAAGGCAGGCACTCAAATCCAATTACATTGTCCAATTCCATTAATACAATCTGAAATGATCAAAAATAATTTATCTGGACCCAGAGACACACATTCCCTTGAAATTCAGACTGCGTGTTTGTGTGTGTATTTAGGAACACTTTCCTCTCCTTCCTCCTCTCAAAATAAAGTCCTCTCTTGTTATTTTATTTTTCCTGTACAGATTTTGAAACAGGTTCTCTTTTCATTTTTTTTTTTTTTGTTATATACACAAGGGCACAAATTACCTTTTATTTCTTAATATTCTCACACAAATCTTTTAGTTGGGCTTTACAAAAGAAAAAATCCCACTGTTGCAGGAGTTAACTACCCTGTTTTGAGTGCTGACCTCCAAGCCCAACACTTGGGAAACGCAGTAAATGACTGACATCAAAGTATCTAACCACTACCTACAGCACATGCTACTCGGCTTTCCCCTCGCTACACAACAGGGAAAGGCAAACACCTTCAGGGGGCAACTTGTTCCCCCTATCATGGGCTGAGAGAGCGACTGTCTGACAGCACCATCTCCTTCCCCTGACCATGGGAAGGAGCCCAGACAGATACTTGACAGCTAGCTTTCTGATAGCTGAGGTTAGGCGAGATAAAACCTATCCCAAGTTAAGACCGAGCCTGATTTCATGCCTATCATGTACAACCTGCCTAAATGCCTGCAGCGATGCAGTCAAGTTACTGTAGCTGACAGGGCTGCTGTTTGTCAGCTGAGCTGTGATAGCTGGCTGGGGTATGAATGCTCAGTGTGTGCGTCCCGTTTATGAAAAAAACCCACCACCCTGTCTTAAGCCATCTACTTGAACAAATTTAAGCAGGTATACAGGGCAAGCACCCATACCTTGGCAGATGAGCAAATACTCGTTAAGCCACGGTCATTTGCTCAGTCGAGGCCCTATATCCTCCCCTTGTAACAGCTCTGAGAAAACGGTGAAGACAACAGTTTATTTAATCTCTCCATCAACTGGGAAGTACAACTTTTCCCACATCTGAACTGTAACGCGGCCTCTTCTTTAGAGCTGTGTTGCAAGGTCCCTTTATAGCCATTACCTTTTACAAATGTTAAGTGCATAGTGCTTCTGGCTACTAAGCAGCATAAACTAATTTTTGCTTTTAGCAGATACATAATTCACTTTCTTCACTAAGCAGATGTAGCATTTCAGTCTCCATATTGGAAATTAATAAGTCCACATTTCCCACATCCTCTCTGTTTTAAAACTTCACCTCACACCCTCCTTATCTGACCCTCAACTGCTGAGCCTCTCCTAAGACAGAAGAGTGCATCCCTGCTCATATCTACAATATTATTATGCTTAAGAGACTTCCCAAGAGACACAAAACCTGGATGAAGCTAGCCTTGTAACCAAGCCTGGTATATCTGCAAGGAATGCTACTGTGAAAAGTTTCCAAAAATTGTGTTTCCCTTCCAGGAAAGGAAATAATGGGAGAGTGGGAAAACTACTGTCATCACTGTCACCTACACTGCAAGATAATGCATGCCATTTGAAAGGGAATAAAAAAAAAATGTCATCATACACTTTAAATTTGGTACAGAGTCCCGGCCTCATGTTTCCCAGGAGGTGCATCATTGTGTCCAGCAATTCACGACTTGAACTAACCAAGAATTCACGGCCACATGCCAGCGCAGCCACATCTGTGAGAGAACACAAAACATCACTATAAAAATAATGCTTCAAACAGAAGTTTATGCTAATTATCAGGACCAATAAAAAGATATGTCAGCTGTCAAGAATAACAATGGCATCTATATAAACTTCAAACTATATTTATCTACATAGCAAATACTGAAGCAGCAAATTATACTGGTCAAATGACTTCACAATTCTACTGTGGCAATTAAAATATTAATTCAGAGTGGCCAGTATTCCAATAGTAAGATGGTGAATTATCAAGCAAAAGGTTGGATTCATCCACAAATAATGTGGGAATGAAGCAAAGTGACTATTATAGGCCACATTTTAAAGAAATAAGATTGCAGATTGTTTTACAATCACTCAATCCAATGTACCTGGCATATTGCACAACCAAAACTCTTGTGGACTTTTAGTCAAAAGTTCTTTTCTTACCTCTTTGCAAGTGCTGCATTATTCATGTACAAAAATATTTCCAAAGACCACTGCTCCAAAGCAAACTTCCCCTTAGTATTTTCACTTACACTTGCCCCATACTTTAGGGCATCCTTATGTGCAAGAGGAATCTTCCAGCAACCCAAGCTTCTCTGTACTTTATCTGCCACTGGCCCAGGCTCCAAAAGCACAAAGCGTGGTGTCTGTAACTAGTGACAGAACCTGGTTCCCCAGCCTCTCCTTCAGGGCAGGTTTGGGGATCTGCTGCACAACACAGTTCTTCCATTTCCATGCAGCCTCGGGTTCTCTCTCCTATGCACATACATCATGATGCCTTTTTTAACCTCGGAATAAGCAGAGGTACTATGCACATAGCATAGAAATAAAAGACTTATCACAATGTTTGTGCACACTGGGCTGTGTTATTACTGCACTGAGAACTCCTGCTCTGGTGTTTTCTAACTTCTGAATACTTGGCACTTCACGATCAGTTCCTCAATGTCCTTTTAATACCGCTTTCTAGTGTAATACTACCTTACAGAGTAACTAGAAGGATTAAACTGATACCTTCTACATCATTCATCTGACTGTATTCTTTATCACATTTGAGTTTCAGCAACCCAAATTAGAGACACACAGAGACAAATCTTGGTAATATCAAATTCACTGGAAAAATTTGTATCAGCTTCAGTGAAGCAAGATTTCCTTTCACCATCCTGATTCCTCCTCAGGCAGAACCCCAATACACTCCCACATCGAGCCTTTAAATATTTCCTTTGCTCAGACACTACTTTTACTATGCTTTTTTTTTTTTTTTTTCTTCAATTAAGCAATTGCAGAGAACTAGATTCTGCCTTGGTACAGTGGCATAATGCATCACATACTGGTTTTTATTACAATCTGTAACGGCACTAGAATGTCTAAAATCACACACTGAAAAAAGCTGTTAATGCAAGAGTCACTTATTTGTGTAACTACCCATTGTTTCATCTGCCTTGCATCACATCATTAGTGTCATTTTGACAGTTACACAGTTTCACAAAAATGCAGATGACATATCAGCCCCATTCCTCAGCGCTTTTCAAGCCAAGGGCAGCCATACTAAGATAGATCTGTGACTTTTCACTTATTTTCCAACCCTAAAAAGAAACATTTAATATGGAAGTCAGATTTATTACCTTTAACTTCTTGCAGCACTATGGACGCAGGACAATGAAGGTGCAGTCCATCTGACAGCAACAAAATTCTTAAGCAGTTTCAAAATGCTGAGCACATACCTTAAGATGGGGCTGATCTACTTGCATCATCTGCAATTCATACATCTTGAAGACATTAGCATTACTGGCAATCCAGCAAGTAAATTGCTTGACATTTACACACTAAGGTGAGCATACAAAATTAGTAGAATGGTCCTTCTTTTACTCCAGATTGAACAGATGTGCTAGGGAATTTCAGAACTCAATGGCTCTTACCAATCTAACCCTCAACCGTCTCACAGACAGTACAATGCCTCACAGAAGTGTCAATGACAAAATCTGCTAGAACTTTAGAAGACTAGGACACTCACTAAATACCTGACTACAAAAAGTTGCGTTTACTGTAGCATATAAGGCAATAAAGAAATTCTCAGTACACATGGAATGCTATTCTGAAAGATAACATTAACTTACTTGTTACAATCCCTGCCAAAGCTAATACAAACTGATTTTCATCAGAATCCAAATCCTGCTGTTTCATGTCTTCACTTAATGACTTCACAAAGCTCTCCATGGTCTGTGCAGTGATTGTGAAAAACTTTACTGCTTTATTCTGCAAGTGCGGAGGAGAAAAAGGTATTATACACTCTACAGCAACTATGATTATTAGATGCTACAGCAAAACTGCACAATCTTCAAAATTACTAAAACAAGTTAATTCAAAAAACAACAGAAAATAGCAGGTATGCACTAAGTGATGTTTGATCCCCTATTATTTGAAACAGTTATCTCAGAAGAAAATGGGAAACTACTCAGTGCTACATTTATTTATAAAACTAAAAGACTGTGTATTTACCTCCTAAACCCAGAATCATAGATATCGAACAGCAGAATTAAAGTTTCTTTTCAAAGGCGAGGATAATAGCTCTTTGCTTTGCAATGGCTGCACCAGGTGTTCCACATTTACCTGGGCTACTACAGCAGCTTTTCTCAAGACCCTACCCAGCTGAAGACTGGAGAACAGCCTGACATAGTGACTTAACATGAATTTCCTAAGAAAACCTATGAAATATTCAGGAAGAAAAAAGCAGAATTCAATTAGAACCTAACAGGATTCGTGAACTGCTCAGTATAGAATGGAGAACTGGCTAGGTAGAAGTTCTTTAGAAAAGAAAACAGATGTGTCTCCTGGGTCACAGGCTGAATTTAAGTCAGCAATCTCACATGAGAAAGATGATCATCACACCAGAGCATACCAACAGGAGTACAGCCTGTAATTATGTTAGAGAGTCCTCCCCTCAGCTGGAATATTGCTCCATTTTGGGGTATCTCGCTTGAGGAAGCGGCCAGGTGGTACAAAGCTCAGGGCAGGTCAAAGAGCCTGGTCAGAGGTGCAGACAGAGCCCACAAAGAAGGGCTGAGAGAACTATTTCTGTTTATTAATAATGCTGACCTGTAAAACATTGCTGGAACACCGTTTCACACAGGATGCTGAGTTTTGTAACAAAAATAGTGTAGCAGAGAGCCCACAGTGCCAGGTTTCCCAGGGTCTTTAATAATTTTGCTGGTTGTTTCATGAAGCAGCTGAAACTTTTAGTCATTAGTGACTCAATGGGACAGCCCAAGAAATGCCTGAACTTTTATTCATTTTGCAAAGTGTTTCAAAATTTTCATATTTTGTCAAAATTACTGCTTTCACAATATCTGCAAAGCTACTGGTAATATTTCATTATTCCTTCACTGCTGTGCATTCACCACATCAAAGATACACAGTTCCTATGGGGTGACTCCAGCAACAGGGCATAAAAAGAAGGGTCAGCCAATACTCAGTATCTTCACAAATGATATCGTAGTCCCAGAATAACAGGAATGAAGGGATCATGGGGAAAGAGAATGATAAAAGGTGCACTTCAGCATGGACTGGATCTACTTTTTATACTTATGCGGACATCACACCTCAAAGATGCCAATTTTAACATAAGCAGTGACAATAGTTCAAGAAGCAGAGGGCAGGAGAGAAAATTAAGAGAGCCTACTATAGCCGACTAGCATAAGGTATTATGAAAATACATATTCACATGGGAACAGAATAGAGTACTATGCAAACCAAGTAGTTGGTATATTGCACAGAAAACAAACAATCTTCTGTTTGCTAGTCTCTTGAGGTGCCACTAGTGTCCTCTCTACTTAACCTTCTTCCCAAATGGCCATTCATTAACTATCAGTAAGGTCTGAGGAGCCGCAGCAGAGACCAGTCAGGTTTATAAATAGCAAGCATTACGTACTCTGCGGAGTCTCTTATTAGCTTGACAGCATTTTCATGGGACTGAAGAATGTCTCACCCACAGACACTGAGATAAGGACAGTTCTCAGAGCAGCCATTAAGACGCTTGAGCTCAAATGGTGCAACGAACCCTTTGCTGCCCAAGTAACTCCTGCATGAAAACATCAGTTAATGTGCAAAATTGCTACCCTAAAATATAAGGCCATTAGTCACCATAGTAGATAACTGAAGTAGCAGACCACCTTGTCAGATCCAAAATTTCTCAAGTTGAAGCAAGCCTTGATGTTGTTCTGAAATAAAGCCTCCAGTTTGCACTCCCATGCGAGAGCCCTGTCATATGGATAGCTGGTTGAAGTTTTTTGAAAGACATCTAAAATGACCTCATGGGAATTAATTTACTTCTTTTTTGGCACATGCAGGTAGGCATCTTTGAACGTACTCTCTCATGCTGCTTCCTTGGATGTTTCTTCAGGTTCTCTCTAGAAACACTACACATGGGTAGAAACAGCAGGCATCTCCCCACCACTGCCTTGAGTACTACTTGTGTTACATTTCAAATTCGCTGCTGGAGTTTTACTCTCCCAACCCGTATGGATACAAATAGTATATTGGTCCCAAACATCATTTCAGTCAATACACATTGCAGAATGGTGTGAAAGACCTACTTCTGTATCTGTGCAAAGACTGAAAAAAGCTTGAGCATTGTTCCCTAGGGCATGAAATTATTTTGAATTGATGCCACCCTCCCCACATACTTAAATATGAGCAAGTTTCAAAGCACTCTTGATTGTTATACATCTCTGTAGTTCACAGCACCTTCTCAGGGGAGTGGGGGAAGATGCTACAAGCTATACAACTTGTCTAAAAATAAGTGAAGCCAAAAACTTTTTATGACAAATCTCCACCATCTTTCAATAACCTGACTCATTGCCAGTTGTAATCTGTGGTTGATGCGATGACATACAATCACTTCAAGTTTTTCCTAGTAGTCTTGTTGCAAACCCAGGCATGTTTCTTACCATGTTATGTTCACCATCACAAGAAAACAATGCCCAAAAATGTTGCTATGACCTACACCAGAAGTATAGCAGTTCAATGGGCTCTAATGATTGCTGGGAATTAATATTCTGTGTTTCAAATGAAGACAGAAACGAAAGTTTTGCATCTTCACATTTTGGCTTTTCACGTTTATACAAATCATCAGATCAGTTTTGTTTTTACCTAATTCTACTTAATTTTGATCCTTAAGACTGCTTTCAACAATGCTTCTACTAATTTTACTCTCACCTTGTGGAAATACAGTCATTTTCATCACTTCAACCATTTTGTTTGTGGGAAACGTACCATTTCAGTACGGTTTCACAAGTCAAGTAACAACTAGTCAGTAAGTATTGTCAACTCTTACAGTTATAAACTGTTCTGAAAATACAGGATGTACCTTTATACTATTTTTGTTGCTATGTGGGGGCTCTGTAGTACCCACCTGCCTTTTTATTTTAACTGCTTTATACAGTGTTTGTACAGACTTTTTTTCCCTTAGTAACTGCTGCTGCTTGGATCCTGAATCATCAGAATCCATCACCAAAGGGTGCAGCTTTCTAATATCCAGTACAAAGTTGTAATTGTATTTTGGTACACCCAAACTGGAAAATCTCTTACAAACACACTAGCACACTAGTTTACCACTTACTATAACTAACTAATCCTATTCACTCAGCCATTCATGCTGCTGAAAAATCAAGCTGGAAGAAACTCTCACTCAGATTCAATACAATTATTTCTCATGGTGGATGTGACAAGACTGAAAACTGTATTTTTATCAGGCCTGTTTCTCTGATCCCTCCTAATTCCATCAGCTGTACTCTGTAGTTGTACAACTTAGTTGTAATATTACTACTGTCATTAAATGTTGTTTTGGCCTTTTTTTTGTTTTGTTTTCAAATAAGCTACCTGTCCATGTTTAACACTGAAGATTTACTAAGATTTGCTAGCATCTAGGCTCTCTAAATTTCCAAGAGTCATGCAAGTATTAAGGAAGCACAAAGATTTAAAGAACTTGAGAACTGACAGATCTGTCTTCCTTCCATGGAAACAGCTCTTCCAAACTCTCTTACAGGCATGGGAACTGCTGCATGTGCCCAAGAATTATTTTCTTCTTCTGTTAGCTTGCAAAGATATTTACATTGTGTTAGCTTTAGCCTTGCTTCCAGTTTAACTGTGTGTGGTGGAAAACAGATAATCCGTGTTTGTTAACACAAGAATTACTGCATTTATTCCCAGCCTGCTTCCTAACACTTTATAGTTCCAACACTTCTTAAATGAGAATGGATGGTTCCCGAAGCATATAAAAATTACAAAAATATTTTTGCTGTCCCAATTAGTTTCTGAAATATATCCTTATATTAAAGAGTGTTACAGAGAAAGGTCCTTATTTTAAAGGCCTAACAGCATTACCACCGATAAGTATTCACCTGCCATACTTACTCCTCCTAGAATGCTTTTAACAGCTTCCTCATTGCTAGATACACCCCACAACAGTGTGCACACCGCTGCACCCATTTCTGTGCAATACTCTGCTTGCTGCAGGAGCTGATGCTTGGCTTCATTCAGCTGCTGGCGGAGGTCTAGTTTCTCCTGAAATAGTATAAGGAAATTCTGGTTGCACTTCATATCAGCCAAAACAAGTCTCCAGGCTAGGGGACAGAAAAAGAAACAATATCATGGCCATACGTGAAATGGAGGGGGAGGACCTGCAGTGGCAAACTCAGAGCAGTTGCAGATACATAACTTCTCTCCTGAGCTACATCTAAGTAGTAAGTGCATCGTGGAGGCTGACAGTAACCAGAAGCCTGTCCACAAGGTCAGACCAAGTGACCCACCGAGACTGAGTGGCACCTAGAGAAGTTTGATAGGAGAGCCCACTCCTCCTAAGCAAACAGCTACATGTCTCTTCAAGAAAGAAGAGATTTTAACATCAGGTCAGGCTTTCCAGACACCTTACAAAAGATACTGTAAACATCTTACAGGAAGGGAGGGTTGCTCGTTTTTCAAAACGGACTTCTGCCTTAGCCAACATGGTAGAGTTGCTGGACATCTAGCATAAATACGGTTGTCTCTTCCATCATTTTTCTATTGGCATATTCCCGATCAATTGTGACAAAGTGAGACAGAGTCCCTGGAAAAACACACCTAAGGTTTGAAGTCTGGAGGGTCTTTCATACCAAGAAAGCCCAGGCACTGCTGTGCATCCGTCACCTCAGTGGTCCTTGCTACAAAGCATAGAGAACAGAGCAATCCAGCATGACCAAGACAGAATTTCAGTTTGGCAGTACTTTTCTCCAACCACATGGGAAGTTGGCCAGAAGAGAATCATGAGATTAGGCATGATTCTAGGTCTCACTGGCTTCCTATGAACTGCCACAGGGGTTACTTCCCAGCTTCTCCGCTTCGAGCTAGTGCAGACAGTGAGATCAAGGCAGGGATACCACAGTCTGTGGTCTCTTAGGGTGTGGGGGGTGCTCCCTGCAAATTCTGAGTGGGGTGGTATTAGACAGTGCTGCAGGGAAAGATAAAGGCCAGACAAGAAAACGATGCTAACTCAAGTATTGAAAGAGAATCACAGATCACACGCTATCAAAAGAACAGAAGGATCTTGTTCTGCCCATTCTGTGGGCATGGGATTTTTAGATTCATCACAGAAAGCACCCTCAGCCAATCCTCCCCTGTGTGTTTAGCTATCAGGTTGAAGTATGGGGAAATCAGAAGAAATCTTTTCTAGGTCAGTTTCGAAAGCAAGTAAAGAGAACAAAACTTTCAACCATGTATTCCCATCAGGAATTTAAAATAAGTATTTGTAATTTTGGGGGTTCACCTCAATGTTTTCTGTTGAGGGTTGGAAAGAATAGAAACAAACTAATCTGAGAATGTACGTAACAAGATATCAGCCAGTACAAAGCTGCTTGTACTCTGTCATCAGTTACCTCCCTAGCCTCCTGTATCACACCTGACAGCCTGATTTGCACTGCTTTATCATGCTGCTAATAGAACACACAGGCTAGGATTTGTAAAGTTCAATTTAAATTTATCAAGCAGATTTCCATGCACATACTCTTTGGAGTATCTTTCACCTTATAGTTTAATACGTACAAAAGACTGATGTTGCTGATTCCCTAAACACTGAAGTTCCAGTCTCTTATTTCTTAATATTTTGATCATTTTTAAGCAAGTTAGCCCAATTTTGTCTTTTATGTAACTCACTGCCAGACCTATCAGTTTTCTGCCACCACGTGCATCAACAAAATGTCCACAGCATCTTCCTGTATAACCCCTATATTATCTCTGTCTTTCTTTTCCACACTGTCCTTGTCTAAGGAAAATATCTATTTTAATACATTTTATTTGCATTTTGCATTTGGATGCTAATACAGAATAGTAAGACATAAAACTCTAATACCAAAGCTAGATCCTCCAACAAGGATGCAAAGCCAGCACAAGAAATGCCAGAATTTTTAATAGATCAAAAGCAACATCAGAACAAAGATATGAAGCAAGAAAAACAAAATAGTACATTCAAGAGCCAGGAAAATAAACGGAGCCTGCAAAAGCAAATAACCTAGCTGGAAGCCACACTCCTGAGAGTTCACATCACAAAGCAGTCACAGCTATGCAACACCACCATCTTCAGGAAAGGGTCAAGGCACAAGAATACAGCAGTGCTTAAGTACATAACTAAGAAAAGTCAGACAAAGACAACATTAGCCAAGAATAACATGTGCACTCCAAGTTTTGCTCAGGTTCATAAAGCACAGCAATTCCATAACCAGTGATACAGCACTGCACAGAAATTTTAGAATGCAAAATGTTGATTTATGATTTAGGACACTGCTCAATTAGAAAATGCATTTATTTTACGTTTGTTTCAGTGAATCATTTCCTTTTCCTTCAGAGCACAAACATGTAGAAAATAATTTAAAAACTATACACAAGGATGCCTACAGCAGAACAGCAACCAAAGTAAAAACTCTGTGCAAAGTGATCAACAGGAGCAAAAATCACACATATAGATACACTATCTTTCTTTATCCTGAAGAGCTAAATGATTTCATGACATACACAAGCACAATCCACTCAAGTACACCTCTGTGGCACAGAACAGAAACCATTTAGACAACCAGTGCCATACTGCGTAACAGCAAAGATATGGAGAGAAGAGCTTTGATCAGGAACACCAAGACAACTCTCTCAGTAAATTATCCACACTTTTAGTAAAACTTTCATCCAAAAGAAATTACAAACCTAAACCACCTACCATTTATTTTGTAATATTAACAAGAATAAAGGGTGGGACCCACTTCATTAACATCTAAAGCAGCAAAATTAAATCTTAGAGCGGTTTTATCCTGGATGCTTATGCAACTAAAGACCTGGGTGCACAACAAAACTAACCATCTACCTATTGCCAAACTGCAACAGCTATCCCAGAAAATACTTATTTTGAAGTAAAGAATATCCAGATAGGCAACTATTCCCTCATACTTTAAATTCATACCAAACTTTATTCCAGAATGACTTCTCTAAACAGATGTGCCCTAAAACTGCATGTCTGAACTCTTCATTTATTCCTTTTCAAAAATGAAATAATTTCTGTAGATTCATCTGTCTTTGTGCAATCCCAAGGCTGGCAGATGTTAACTCTAGAACCCCAACAAAGTGAGCCTCTGCTAACTACTGAAGATAGCTACTAGCTCCAAGGAAAAGAACTTTTGCAGCAAATAACCACAAGTGATTCCCATACATGTCAGAAATTAAGCCACTAGTCTGTGTGATCCCAATGGCTTCTCAAAAGACCTACAGCCAGAGAAGTCATGGTCTTTGCTATCTCTTCATTGTTAAGAATCGCCCCTTTCATAAACACTAAGTACAATATTGACAAAGCAAAAGGAGCCCTGTAATTGTTCTCTGACTCACAGCTGTACATGGCAATTGGATCAACAGCTGCATTGAGAAAGACAATTAAAACTAAACAGAGGTACATGGCTTACAGCAAGCAAAAAGAGAGGCCGGTTTCATTTTGTACATTGCATTACTTACATTATCTTCTGTTGTCCTCTTTGAATATACGTTATAGTTACATCAAATTCCAAAGAACTGATTCTGCAAAGGACCTTTTGATGCCAGCTACACTACAATCTTCCTGAATACCCACTGTTTTACTTCAACATGTTAATATAAACAAAATGCTAATGAATTTTAACTTTACACAGGCCGAAACAAACGCTGCCAAGAAGCCTGTCATGCAGCCCCATACAATCGCACCTCACACAGTACAAAAGTTAAGAGAGACCAATGCAGTTATGCAAGAATTATGTACCTAAGTGGGAGACTGACTGTCAGTCGGTACCTCTCTTTGTACACACTGAACACCTTTTGGTACTGCATCATATTATATTTTTTCTAGTTAGAATATTGACCCATTTGCTCTAGAAATATCAAAGGGGAAAAAAAAAAAATCTGTTACGAACTTAGAGGTAAGTTACTCACCACCTGGCTACATGAATAGAAATCCAGATTGGTATTTAGACTGAGGATGTATTTTGTGACATGAACATGAAAAACTGATCATTCCTGCTTTTGTTATTAAAACTAAAGCACACAGACACCAATATTCTGACAGCAAATCTACCTTCTTCTCTCTCATGCAATCAGCCTGGGCTGTTTCCAGACGGGCTCTGAAGTGTTCACAATCCATTTTCAGCTGTTCTATTTCCTCCTCCTTTTTCTCCATGTCTGTGATAGGATAAATCAGACAAACGAAGGAATAAGTTATGACCAACAGGCTTGCACTTAAGAAGGAATCCACTAAGTGCAAAGCCAATGAGGTGCTTTAACTATTTTCTTGTGTTACATCACCTCCTCGTGGCTAAACTGGTATATCGCAATTTGCCACATTCCAACAGTTCCTGTGAGAAACTGAACAAACATGGCAATTCTGATTTAAAACAGGGAAAGACTGAAAGATTCACATCTTGCTTTTAAGTACTGTCTGCCTATAAGATACCATTCTGGCACTGAGCTTCAGCTTCTCAGGGCTTTTTAAAATAAGTACTCAATTTTCTACTTTTTCTGTTTGTTTTCATGATGGTTTTCACTTCTGGTATCTTTGAAAATCAGTGAATATAGTGAAAATCTAAGAAAAGAATACCAAGGTCAGTGAAAAGTGAGTGTTTCAATATACAATGTAGAAAGTCTATGAAGAATGAAATGCAACTACTCCAAACAAATTAATATTTATAAAGTATAAGGCACTATAAACTATTTAAACATTATGTCAGTAACAAGCAAATTTTACACTTCCCCTAAAAAAATAGTATGATGTTATCAGAAATACATTCCAATTTAGATGCTTTATTTTAGTGAATGGAAATCAAGTTAGAAGTATTATATATCACGATCATGATGTCTGTTTTGAAGAATTTACTTTGAAGGACATTTTTAACAATTGTTGTGTATTGTATTTTACTTTTAAAACCATGGTTCTGGATGCTTAGTATTTATACTGAAAAAAGGAAACACATCTGAGTAATCTCAAAAAGTAACGTCCAAACGGCATCCACTGTAATTCTGGTTAACTTAAAAAACAAGTTACACCCCACTTTGTGTGCCATACCCTTGATCATCAGATTATAGTCCATCATGATCATGAGTATGGTCTATGGCTTAACACACTTCAAATATTTTCCCTGACATGCATTCAATATTTTTGAATGTATTTACCAAAGAATATACCAAATTCAATCATAAAAAGATAACATCATTTTTAAAAAACAGTCCTTATTATCCCAAAAGCTTTGATTCTGGTATTTTATTTAGTAATTCTACATTATTTGGAAATAAACTCCTTTCTTTTTCCAGACCTAGGCAACGAAATGTTATCTTCTCAAATATATACACATTGCTTTGAGTAGCAAGTGTAAAAGGGGATTATCTAGCCACAAATAGCTTTTCTAAAGACATAGAATATATTTCCACTCTGCCCTTGTGTGATTCTAAGCCATCGACACTAAGACTTTTTAACAGACACCAGAGGCAAGGCAAGGGTCCACTCCTGGGAAACTTAGATGTGTCAGGGCATGCTCTCCAAGCGTTCAGTTGTTTTCAACCTGCAATCCAAAGAAGAACAAAGCAGAGAATGGATTCATTGAGTTCTCGCAGGGTAACTCGTCAGTGGCAGGAAATTTTCTTTCCTTCTGTAAAGACAATTCAGTCCCATGTACCTATTACTACATGGCTGTAAGTCCTAAGCACTTGACTGATAGACGTCTTGAGCATGAGTAGGGCATGTTCTGTTTATCAATAGCAGACCAAGAACCTGTTTATCCTTGCCAGGTAAAAACATCCAGTGAAAAATCTCTCTCACTGCAAGGAAAGAAGCTCTCCTGAATATGAAGAATTACTTCCAGCCTTTGAGAGAATGGATCCACCCTGAATCCATCATCAGCACCGCCAGACAACACACAATGATGACACATCCTTCACTGGCAGACTTCGGAGGTCCTGGAACCAAAACTGAGCCAGGAAAAGGGGAATAATATTAACTACTGAGTATTAACACAGTGCTACTTGTATTTTACTTTTTTTAAGTCCTCCAGATAAAAGAAGAATGAGTCAACCTTCTCTAAGGTATCACACTTCTTATGCCCAGTCAGCTCTCCCAGCGGTGCACAGCTTTGCTGTGAACAGAATTCAAGGTTGCATGCACCAGTCCTGACACCCGACAGCCTCCTGACACACAGCAGCAGAACGTCAGCAAGATGTCAGGTGCTCATTGAAGACTGCAGCTGTGCAGCTCACGGCAGCACACCGCAGTCCTGAGCAGCACATGGGGAAGCCCGACAGGTTCTCCCGCTGGCTGCAAGTCCCAGCGCCTGGGAAGGAAGTCCCTTCCCTCTTGACCCTAAAATCTCGAGGCTCAGACTATCTACCTCCACCAAGTGAAGAGTCAGCTTTCACTACCAATTTGGATAAGCAAAAAAAAAAAATGAAATGGCATCCTTATACAAACAGGAAATGCCTAACTTTGCCACTGCAGTGGTAAATCAGACTCTGGGAAGAAGTGGCATTTGCTCCCGAGAGAGAGCAGACGTAAAAGCAGAACAAGGCATTGGGTACAACAAAAGAAGAGAAGGCCCACATTTCAGGTGTGAGGTAAACTCATTCTCATCCATGCTAGAGACCTAATCTCAAAGTTCTGGGAGGTGAAGAACTGAGTGCAACTACAATGAATGCCAACAAGTGATGGAAGTCCATTTCTAGTGATCTAAATGCTAGATCAATGTTAAATGCAATTTTAAACATTTCCCCAGTGGTCCAAGTTCCACTAAACATATGCATAATAATATGGAAAATTTGTTGGAGCTATTTTTCCAAGATTCCTGGAGCCAAACACTCTTCCTGAGGAGGATGGTAAGAACAAAATGGACTTTTCTTTTTTTAAATGAACAATTACTCTGCCAAAAGCCTTAATGAAAACCCTGACACCAGCTCAAAAAGTAGGTGTTGGCTGCAGTGACCGTTGCCAGCTCAGATCTCAGGTACCACCTATGGGATGCTCCCATAGGAAATGGGTATCCTATTGACCCAGATATACAAATGAAACATGCAACGATCTCAAGGTTTCTCAAAGCTATTCAAGACTCCATCAGCCCCACAACTGAATGGGCCAGAGGTGCTGAAAGTCTCTGACTATAATCTGCATTTCTTGAGGAGCATGAGAACCTGCTAACCACTTCATGTTTTCAATACTTAGAAAACTGCAATAGCTGATTAAAGTCTAGAGAGATATACAAATCACCCATTAGGCTTCTTCAAGAACAATGTGAAAAAAAAAATCTCTAGTAACTGTCAGGATTCCTATAAGCTTCACATGCCAACTGCAAGAGTACTTAGTAAACAGCACCAGAGAGATCATCATTCTGAGACTGAAGACTGTTTGTGTCCCTGTGATGCCCAACTTTGAAAACTGTATGCTCCAAAGCCCCCTTTCAGTCTGCCTTACTGCATGCTGCAGAGGTAGGAGCAGACCAGGGTAGCAAAAATCAACCTTTAACATGTCCAGCTGCAGGGGCAAACAATGGCAAGAGCCTGAATAAACATTCAAATGATCTCGTTCACTGCCAAGAGAAATCTCCACTCAAGAGAGTTCAAGGGCTGACTCAGCTTCAGGCACTTCTCCAGAGGACCCAGAGAATGCTGGCCAGCCAGTAGAACGTTTGAAGGGAAGTCTTAAAATCCCCATACTGATGCCACAAACCTGCTCCTGGAAGGCCCCGACAGTGTCTCCTTGATGCCTGTCACAAGAAGCATCAGAAGGATCGGTGAGAGAAATCTTGAGACTCAGCACTGATAAAATCAGGTAAAACAAAGATCTGACTAGTTGAGGATCTTGAACACTTAATGCAACTAGAAACAGCCCCTGATGCCTTGCAATAGTGTAAAGAGAAAATTTCCAGATCCTGCATCACTTCTTGTGACATGATGTCTTGACTGGCAGCAGGCGAAGCGGCACAGTCTTCTCATCTCTGTTAGGATTTGATGGCATGGAAGAACCTTTCCAAAGAGCGGACTGAGGTAGCCAGAAGCTCTGCCCCAGTGTATTACTTGGTATCGAAGACAGGCCTTGAGGCTGTCTTACTCTTCCTTAGCTAGCTGTTGTAAGTTAGTTTTCACTCTATAATCTGTCTCAGTGCTTGTCCCATGTCTTTTCAGACTAAACCACTTTCTAGAGCAGGTGAATTGTACTGCCACTTGTAAGCTACAGGGTAGGGATGGAGTTGACCCAGATTTGGTCCTGATGACATGTTGGGAGTGGTGCAACTGTTGAAAAAATAATGCACAGAGAATCCTAACACTGAAAAACCAGACTTTGGGGACAGCAGTAAAAAGACCTTTATAACAGAGTCTTCAACTTTTTTATTATTATGAATATTTATAGCAATAAAAGTATACAAGCTAAAAAACAAGACAGGCTAAATACAACTATATTACCTCTTCCTTTAAATTTAACTTTTTATCCACAGCTACTTACCACATTTTTTTGTTGCGCACCTAAAGCAACAGTTCTCGAAGAGGATCTACTTTTTTCCTGATACAGCTTCCCTTACTGCCTGAACTAAGTATGTTTTTATCCACAGTAAAATATTTTTAAAGATTCATTTGTCATGTCTAATTATTTCTAAGGCAATTTGTAATCTTCTTCATTACAAACACATTAATTTACTGAAGCAGTCATTGAACGTCACAGTTTAATCTGAAATACCTCCACAAACTCTACAACCATTTGTAGGGGCATGACAGTTTGCTCTAAGGAGTTTTGGCAGAAGCTATAGAAGCTTGTAACATGGTGCTACTCACTTGATTCAATAGCATCCAGTTTCTGGAATGTCCCTAGGATATCCCCGTTTACTATTTTGGGTAAGAAATCCCGCAATTGCATAACCTCGGTTGTTAGCCTTTCCAAATCCCTCCTTCTAACTTTAACAAATTCCTCTTTGGTCTCAGCCTTCTGAAATGAAAAAAAAACAAACAAACAAACCAACCAACCAACAACAACCAAAGACAGTGTTACAGTCTTGCAGTGATTTACTGCTTGAATCCCTTCTCTTGGGCAGAAGCATTCCTCTAGATTACATCGTTTCAGAAATTCACAACTCTTTAAAAGAGAACTATCCAGTAATAACTAAATCCAAAAGTCTCCAAGATGGAATCTTTGACTATAATCTCATTTTTTTCACTCTGGCCTAGAGGAAATCTTATTACCTCTCTGCATCTGTTTCTTCAGCTAAAATGTGTGCTGTGTATCTCAGAAAACTGTAAAAATTAACATTTACATTTAAAAATATTAGCAGTTATGCATATGCTAACCTATTGTTTCAAGACTGTTGTAAAGGATACACTCAGTTTTTTAAATAACTCAAATATTTGCAAGATCCTCAGTTACCTTTCTAAGTTACAATTATTATTTACAATTAAATCAGCTCTTTAAGAAGAAGATATATTTTTTCAAAAGAATTAGTCTTTTGTGAGGGACAAAAAAAATAGTTGCAACTATTTGCAACCTAATCCCACAAAAAATTAATTTAATCCTACATGAAGACAAAAAAAAAATTTACTCGTTTCCTCTTCTGCCAAGCTATTGATATAAAATAACTTTAATTCCACAGTCCAAGAGAATGTGCATTGATTTTGAAGTTATAGAGAAATTCCTGTACAGAAAAATTCCTTTTAAATTCCAGTTTCTGATGTACATACATGTGCACACTGCTGTATCTTAAAAAGGCTACTATATACACAGACATAAAAAGGTTTAATGTCCTTTCCCTAGAACGTTAATCATCTGCTTTTACAACACAAAATTATAACATGTCTTAGTACTGTTCTGCACTGCATTGAGAATGCTATACAGAAAAAGACGACATCCTTCATGTATCACATCTCATTCCAGAGGGAAGAAAGTACTACAGAACATAAAAAACTCTGTTACAGGTACAAAACATGCCATCCCCCCAGTCTTCTTGAGTCCAGCTGGAGAAGGCAAATGGAGGTCATCACCACTGGTACAGACAATGCTACCCTGCCATGTCTATCTGTCCCAACCATTTCCTACAATTCTCTCTTTCTGCTTCACTACCTCCTCAGGTTAAACATCTCTCAGTTTTGCTTCCTACTCCTTTCCCAGCTGTGTTTCAAACCCAGAAAGTTGTAGAGTCAGAACAGGCCACTTCCAGCTTTCTCAGTTCTGAGTTATCACAGCCACAATCAAAGCGTGGAAGAAAGATTTCCCTTTTAACTTGAACTGTGTGCTCCAAGCTGCATTTAGGAAGTGCTTATGGCAAAGTTAGTGGCCAAGTACCACCACATTACATGATTCAAGAAAAATACAACTCAGTGAGGTCTTAAGACAGTATGGAACGAACACATGGCAATAAGACTCTATAGAATACTGTAAGCAAACAGGAAGGACATAGACACTTCAGTATTGCTCAAAATTATGGAGCACAATTTGGTACAGGCATAAAAATGGCTCTATTCACTAGCAGAAGCTAAAATCAAATAAAATACCCTATTGAAGTGCTGGGATTGATATGAAACACACAATAAGGAAAAAATTCTCATTTGCAGTTCCCCCTATAAACCAAGATCTTTGAAATACTGCAGTTCCAGTTGACAAGTTTTATTTTCTCTTGCTTAAGCAGCAGCTACTCAGTATCTCCTCCCCCTACAGTAGTATGTTAAAAGCAAATACAGGCAACAGAGAACAGTCGTTTTCCGTCCAGCCCCTCACAGTCATGGCGGGCGAGTGGATGTAGGAAATTTGACTTCAGTCCTCACAGACCTTTTGCCGAGCTAGTTATCTACCTTGGCTCACGACCCGCGTGATCTGAAACCCCCTTCCCGGCCTGGTCGGGGGCTGAACAGGGCAGGGATCCCAGCCGGCGACGAACACCCACCAGAGATCCACAACCAGGCCTTTCCCCGCCCCGCTCTCCGCCAGCCCAGGGTGTCTCCGGAGCTCGCTCCTCCACAGCCGCCACCGCGCTCCCCTCTCACAAGGGAGGGTCCCTCATCCTCGCCCACAGCCGCACGACCCGCCAACGCCGCGGGCGGCAGCCCCCACCCCAGCCCCGTCGCCTCGCAGCCCCCGGGGCCGGGCTCCCACACGCCTCGCACGGCCGAGCTCCCCACGTCCCCCCGCGGAGTTCGGCCGCTCCGACCCCGCCACCGCCTCCTCAGGGCCCCGCGAGGCCCGGCGGGCAGCGCCACCCACCCACCCCCCCTCCGCCTGTATCTGCCGGAGAGCCGACCCCCGCGGCGGGGCCCGTCCCCCCTCCCGCCGCACCCCGCGGCCGGCGGCAGCGCGGAGCCGGGCCGGACCGGACCGGACCGGGCCGCGCGCGCGCTACCTGCGCATCGCCAACGAGGCCAGCGCAGCGCCACATGGCGCCGCCAGCCTCGTGCGCGGGAGGGCGGGAAGGAAGGGCGGGAAGGAAGGGCGGTGCCTCTGGCGTCACTGGCCCCGCCCCCCCCGCGGGTGGGATGGGCGGGGGGATACGGGTTGGGCGGGGCCTGGAGCCAGCGTTCCGCCCCCCCCCACCGGCCCGGGGCAGCCCCAGCCCCCGGCACCGGGCACCTCCCCGGGGACGGGTCGAGGCGTGAGTTCGGCTCCGCGGCGCACATGGCGGCCCCGGGGGGGGTGAGGTGGGGTCCTGGGCGGCGGGCAAGGCGGGGTAGCTCCGGGGGGAGCCGCCGGGGAATGTGCGGGTGCTCCGTTTGCGTGCCCCGGTCTCGGTAGGTTTCCGAACTGTAAGGGACGGGATCGAGGTGACAGTCCCGCCCCCTCCGGCTCCCGCCCTGTGATGACGGCTCAGGCGGGCGACGGGAGTGTCGGTGACGTCATCAGGCGGCGCGCGGCTCGGCGCGGCGCGGACGGGACAGGACAGGACAGGACTTGGACCGGGACCGGGACCGGGACCGGGACCGGCCATGGCTCCCGCCGCCGTGCAGCCGCCCGAGATCCAGTTCGCGCAGCGGCTGGCCGCCAACGAGAAGCGCATCCGCGACCGCGCCGTGAAGAAGCTGCGGGGGTACATCAGCGCCCGCACCCAGCGCCCGGCCGGTAGGGCCCGGCGGGGCCGGGCGGGGCGGTGTGGCCCAGCCCGGGGGCGGGGGGGCGGCGGGGGCCGGGACCGGGGCCGCGGATGAACCGGAGGTGCTGGCGGGGGGCGGGGAGCACGTGCGGCCGGGCCGGGCCCCGCCCCCTCTTCCCGGACCTGTCCATCACCGCGGGGCCGCCGCCTGCGGGGTCTCCTGGGGGGTTTTAGCTGGGGGGAGGAGTGGGTTTGCTTGGGTTTGGGTGTTTTAGGTTTTTTTGGGTTTGTTTTTTATGGGTGGTTGTTTTTTTTTTTTTTTTTACTTTTACGCATAGATTTCATCAGAGGAAGTATTTGGTGGAAGTATGTGCCTCGGCGGCCCCACGAGCTGACAGCAGCCCTCGGAGGAGCGGGGCGGGGGGGAGGTTGTCTGTCTGGCAGCGTTAGGATCGGAGCAATATAGCTTGCACGCCCTCATCCCCGGGAACAGGACACAAATGCACAGAGCTGATCCGGGCTGAACCCAGCCCAGAATATACAGCATATAGTTTTATTTTCTGCTGTGCTGTCTGGTGAGGTGGTGGCTGCCTGTTTCCCTGACTGGTGTTCGGGAGCATTGGGGGGAACTGAGGGAAGCTCAGGAGTGTTTCAGCACTTGTATAATTGCAGCCGATTCTCTGTCACCCATTCAGATTATCTGGGTTACGTGTTACCTCCGCATTCATGGTATCAAAACCTTTTTTCCAACAAGGCTTATTATCCTGCTTGGATACTGCTGCCTTAGAAGCAGGAGTCCAGTGCATGGACACCTCGGTGGTGAGCCTGGAGACAGTTTGTGTCTAGTTAGACTTACTGGCTTTGACCAACGAGTCTAAAGCCGTGCCAGTCTGAAGCTGCCCGCACCTGAAGGTGCCTCCTGTGCACTCTCCCCTCATGGACACAGGTTATAGGAGGCTTACGAGGTCAGTCGTACCATCGTGTGAATGCATGTCTCCAGTTAAGCAAATCTTCCTGTTGGAGTGATAAGGAGCATGGTGCAGAGATGCCCAAGAGATTCTGTGGTGTTTCGGGACTGCTTTTTCCAGCACTCTGTGTTGTAAGCTGGACACGGCGCATGAGGGAAACTGGTCACGATCATTTGCAGAGCACTGTGTCTGACCTAGTTACACCTTCCCACAGCATTTGGGGAAACTGATATGGAGGTTTGCTCCTTCGGCTTTGAGGGAACCAGACTAGACCTGGCACCCCAAGAGATAAACTGAGACTGTAATGCTGGTTCAACCTGAGTTAATTCTCTGGAAAGACACTGTGGAATAAATACTGTTTCTTCCCTTTCCAAATAGTATTTGACCCATTAGCCACATTTGACAGAGGGAAAAGGACATAAGAACAGCCTTAAAGGGTCAGGCCAAAGAGCCGTGTATCCCATTTTTGATAGTTACCATATATCTCGGGGTTGTCTGGGGACTAGTAAGAGCAAGCAAGTGTACATTGTATTCCTCCCAAGTACTTTCTAAGCATCCGGCTGTTTTCATCTGTGGAGACTTCTAAGCTGGGCATGGCTCCTCTGTGTTCAGTAGTGCTCTGCACATCTCGTTGCAGAGTGCAGATTTCTTTAAGTTCATGAAAGTAGCCTGACAGATGGACAGGAGTGCCCTGACTGAGGGAAGAGGTTGCAGATGAAGCTAATGCCTTAAGATACTAGGAAACCACCACAGGGAAATTATCAGTTGGGCTGTGAACCTTTTGCATGTTAAAGTCAGAATACCATGAAATGCAGATGAGTAGGAAACAAGGGTGACTAATTTTGAGAGCTCTTGGATTTGCTTACCGTTACATACTATTCAAGCTAGTAATATTAAAACAAAGGTTAACTTATTTGGACTTGAACAGAAAGCGTTACGTTGAGGAGAAAGATGATTAAAAAAAAAAAAAAAAGTTATTTATTAGCTAGCAGTCTTATATCCATCCAGTGTTCCGAGACAGGTGTAGTTCACACATTCGATAACCCAGCTTGATACACTGACTGGAACAGTTGAGAACATGCTAACTTTTGAAAGAGATGGTGAAGTTCCCCTGACATTCACCTCAGTCACATGTTTCATAGGTAGACAGGACTGCTCAGTAGGGTCTGCACTAAGGCTGAATTGTGAGTCATGCTGGGGAAACTTCTTCAAGGAGCTAGAGCTCTTAATTTTCAACCAGAAGTTAAATTCTGCAGAAGGCATAGAACTACTGAAGTCACTGTGTGTGCGGATGAGCTTGGATGAGCACATTATTCCTGGGAAGTGGTTCTTTTTTTCTTGTTAGCTTGAAAGAGAAGAAGAGCATGCTGTACTGGGATGGCAATAGGATATATTTACACAGATATTAGTAAATGAATTGGTGAAAAAATAGTAAATAAAAGTAACTTTTGCTAAAAGAGGGAAGACTGCTGGGTGATTTCCTGTCTGACAGAGCTACACTTACTTGAGCCCAGATCTATAAAGGATTTATGTAATTTCCAATGAAATGTGCCAGGGTGGATCTGGTCCTTGGAGATTATCTAGAGTAGGAAAAACAGCAGCAGTTTTAATGATATCAATGTCAAACAGCATAACTCCCAAACAGAAATGCTAACATGGCTTGCATTACATTAGCATGTCTTCAGTGAGCGGTTGTAACATTACTAATCCAAGCTCCCACACTGTACATAGGGACAGAGTTACAATTCAAGCCCTGAAACCAAATCTCTCTTGAGGTAGCTTTAAGGTAAAGAAGGTCTTCAGTTTTGTGCACTGAGGTTGCTGATACAATGGATTCAGGTTTTAAAATGACCTTGCTTGAATTATTATTTGCCAGCTGTGGATGGTGACAGGAAGGCACATAAAGTGAAAAATCCAATCTTGGAAGTTCTTTTTGAGTGACTAGGATAAGAAACTTGCTCTAAAACATTTTGATTACACTTTAAAAAGCCCTCTGTGTATGAAAAGCAACCCCATGGAAGTCTGTGTTCCCGAGACTGTCTGATGCCTCTGCAGAGTGAGTGCTGCATGGGAGGTTAAGCCTGCTCCTTACCGCTACGTATGTAGCGTATAATTCTGTTCAGAAATGTTATTAATTTTAATACTTCAATGAATATTAAATCGGTGAATGAAACTGTTTTGTATTTAATCTTAATATACTGACAAATCTGTTAAATTAAAAATTAATGCTTAATATTACTAGACATATTGCTTCCTCCGTAGCATTTTGCATATTTCCTTTGCTCAGCTCTACTTCTCTTCTTTTTAACCAAGCATGACTGTAGATGATTTAATTAACATGTTTACAATTTTTTGTTTGAGTGGAGAATAGCACAGTAGTGATAATTGCTTTCAAATTATTTGGTCCCAGGAGGAGGTGCTTAATTTAGACCTAGCACTGGGTCTCAGGCTTTTTGATTGGCAGACCCCTGAAAATTTTACAAAAGTGACAGTGATCTTTTTGGAGCAAATTTGAGCTTGCTGAAGATGATTACCTTTCTTATGTGATTTTTCTTGAAATTACTTGAGAGTTTGAAAATAGTTGCAGTAGGTTATTGTAGCTACCTTGTAAGAGTATGCCATTATAATTTTACTTTCCAGAAGTGTATTTGATGTCATGAATGATCCAGTTTTCAAAATGTTCTTGAACAACTACTACTGATAGTAAAATTTTATTTTCCATGTAGTACTTCCCTTCTGTAATGTGTGATTTTGACTAGAATGTGAATTTTTATACTGTTAATAATGAAAATATTCTTTGCTGTTAAAATTCAGATGATACTGTACCTCAAGACTAAGTGTAAGGAAAATATTTTCATTATGGTTGCTCAGACTCTTTAATTATGCATTTTAATATTGAAATAAATTTGTTGACTGCTTGAAGCTTGTTCTATTAAAACAAGCCCCTAGTAAGGAACAAAACTATTGGTAACATGAGGCTTTATTAAAAACAAACAAACAAACAAAACCAACAATAAACAAACAAAGCAAAAAAAGCCCTGTCAGTTATGTTTGAGGATTTGCATATCACCTAATTTGCAAAATTATATATGATGCCCTCATTAAAAATATCTCTCAGGCTTGGTGCTAAAAATATGCCAGAGGGATGTATCAGAATTATCTTAGTATTCATTTCATCTCATCTGTGATTTCTTTGAAATCTTTGTTACTTTGGTACAAGATAGAAGCTTATTGTCATGGAATCACTAAACTATGCCAAGGTGCCTTCCAGTAGGAACCAAGACTTGCTCAAGAGAATATAACAAAACCAAAGAAGAAGGCAGGGAACAGAGGGAACTGCATTAAAGCATTTTGGTGGAAATGTGAGATTTTTCATATTCAATTCAGATTTCTCTACCATAGGAGGCTTCAGCCAGGAAGA